TTTTGTGGATAAATGTCTGTTTTATCAGAAGCATAAATTAAAGAGATAAGCGAAAAAAAAACGTATTTCTAAATCGGATCCATTGTAAATCTTTTAATTCCGACTTCAATACACAATCGAGTAATTATACATTCAATACAAAACACACAGCCGATGTCTTGGTTCAATATCTCGATCAATGGCGTGCATCCTGTTTTAGTTATTAGTTAGATAAATATAAGAAACGAGAAAAATGACCCGTTGAGGAAGGATACAACGGGCGCTAGGTTGATAGTGCTGTCTATTTTCTCTAAACTAAAACCAAAATCACCACCTTAATTCAATGTAACCGGAAACGAAAAATGACAATGAAAACGGATTTTTATCCAGAATCGGTACTTTAATTTATACAAAATATAGTCATAGGCATATCCCTAAACCATGCACCTAATCTCATTCATGACAAAAGTCGCATTTAGAGTTTCTTTCAGGCAAATCTACACACCCCAAAACATGTCTACCGTCCCATTCAACGAAATATAATTATATACTTGTTCCAGTGTCCGCCCCCTCCCAGAAAATTCAACCCCCGCCCCCCAAAAAATTCAAGTACACCCACCCCTCTCCAGGGAGGAAAAAGTCTGAAAGAAATGGTCGCATTTGTAGATCGTACAAACTAAAGGAAGAACCTGGGCGGGGCTTCGCCCCTACCGGAAGAAATGCATGAAAAAAACTGTGCACGTTAAACACTTTTTGGATTAGAAAAAGTTCCCACCTCCGGGGAGGAAAAAGTCTGAAAGAAACACTGGCAGTGTTTATTCCAGACTTTTTTCTCCGGGGGGGGGGACTTGAAATGTTCGGGGGGCGGTAAACTTTCTTCGGGGGGGGGGGGGGGGGGGCGGACACTGTTAAAAGTATATATTTTCCATACAAATTATATAAATTTCATTTCGTTCGGGGGGGGGGGGGGGCGGTAAAAAAATTTCGGGGGGGGGGGGGGGGGGGCTTTGCCCGAAGAGATGCCTGGAAGAAACTCTGAACACTGGTGTCGCGCTTAGCCACTACCCGAAGAATTGCATGAAAGAAACTGCAAGCAAACCACTTTTTAGATTAGACACATTAATTAGGCGGTAATTTTATTATAGAGTATCGATGAAGAAATTTCTTTTCAGTTGGGGGGAGGGGGGGGGGGGGGGGGGCGGCTTAGACGTTCTTTCGCGAGGGTGAGGCTTCGCCCCTACCCGAAGAATTGTATGAATGAAACTCTTCACGCAAACCACTTAGATTAGACAAAATTGGCTTTTTAATTTAATGTTTACTCGAGAATCAATGACGTCATATTACTGTGTGCACTCTCCGGCTTGATACTATTTTCTACTAAATTCTCAATGTGACGTCATGTTTAGTTTTCGTTTTACTGTGAAAGTTTTTATTTTGCTTGTGTTTGTCAGATAGATACACAGATAGATAGATAGACAGACAGCGAAACTATTAGTATAGATAGATAAACCGAAAGTGATCTTCCCTAAACTCTCTCGAATATTCTTATATAACACTACGGGGGATGGCAACTCGGGATATAGACAATATTTTTTTTATCCATTTTAAATTACTTAAAATTTTAAAATCGAATAGAATCTCGTAGAACAAAGAATTTCGCACCAAGTTAATATGTGTAACAGTGTGGGATATTATTAGTACTTTATAAATTCACATGCGTTTTTTGAGAAATCGGAAATAGCGTAAATTACTACTTCTGGTCAACGGATATAACTCAAAATTTGACAGAAGGCAGAGAATTAGATCTTTTACTTCTATGTGAAGTTTTATTTATCTGTCTGAAACAGTACTCAAGTTATAGGCTTTTGAAAAATTGAAAGTAGAATAAGTTCCACTTCCGCTTATCGGGAATCGCTGAAAAGCTGATACGGAACTACAAATATGATGTAATACTTAGATATGAAATTTCATCATCCTAATTCTAACAGTACTCAAGTTATCGTGTTTACAGACACAGAGAGAGAGAGAGAGAGAGAGAGAGAGAGAGAGAGAGAGATCGACATACGGAAAAAATAGCACTCAGGGAGGTTAAAACGTCGAGATCTGTGAAAATCTCGAGTTTTTTTTGCACGATTACAATACTTTCTGTATACTTCGTATACGAGAAAGTAAAAAGCTCAGATTTTTATTTGGAAGCCTCAAGTATACAACCCCCACCCCCCCCCCCAAGCATCAACCACGATAGGTTTACGGAGGTTTTACAGGATAGAACAACGGGGAGGGGGGGGGGGGGGTATTTTCAGGGGTGATAACCTACTCCTCTAATACCCAATCCTTATTCAAATTTATCAGGAGAGTAGGCTAAAGGATGCAGCCCACTTTTTATTGATATTAAAAGGATCGTTTTTGAGACCTCAGCGTAAATCGAAAAAAAAAAGAATCGGATTAAATATTTCTCTTTGAAGTTAAAGCCACACAGCTAGGCGATTACAAGCCGTATAAAATTCGATACAGAAAGAGTTATCTCTTCTTTTCGACACGGAAGTAACGTAAGCCTTTAGAATGAAATATTCCGCTTGAAAGATTAGTTAATCCCTTCATATTGGGCACAGTTCAGATCAGACGGCTCGATACAGTTGGCACAGCTGATGTAATTGCTGGGATTTACGGGCGGATATTTTCGCCTGTTGCAAGTCTCTTTTGTCCGTTTGAGGCTGTCTTTTACCCTTTTATGTGAGCGGGTAATTGGATGATTTATGTTGTATTATATTTTTGTGTGCGAATCTGTGCGTGAATGGTCAACTGGACAGCGGCTAGGGGGTTTCCCTTTCCGGCCGAAGCGGGTATTTATACAGACTGACCGCTCGAATCTTTCTTTCTTTTGACCCGAGTCGAGAATGTAGATCTGGTCAGTTTATCTGTGGGCGAACCTCGTGCGTGGAGCGATGTTGCTTTTGCAACTTGGCTGGGTGTTTTGTATGTATTTTTTTGTTCGATGTTTTGTTTGTTATGACATGTATGTTTGGTGCGGATATTAGATGGCGTTTCGATTGCCGTAGGGGATAGGAAGGATGTCTGTGTGTTCGGAGCCTAGACTATCCGAGGCATCGAAGGTACGTAATATTTCATCGAACGTTGTGTGTTTTGTTTGTTTAGTATTTGATTAGGATGTTTTGGATTTGACTTAATGTTTACGTGTTTTTTTAGCGCAATTTCCATTCTGGAGAATTGCGATTATTAACTCGTCATTTCTGAAATGGATGTATGTATGTATGTATGTATGTATGTATGTATGTATGTATGTATGTATGTATGTATGTATGTATGTATGTATGTATGTATGTATGTATGTATGTATGTATGTATGATGGATGGATGGATGGATGGATGGATGGATGGATGGATGGATGGATGGATGGATGGATGGATGGATGGATGGATGGATGGATGGATGGATGGATGGATGGATGGATGGATGGATGGATGGATGGATGGATGGATGGATGGATGGATGGATGGATGGATGGATGGATGGATGGATGGATGGATGGATGGATGTGTGTCCGCAGCTTTAAGTCGTCTTTAAGTCGTATCTACTCCTCAACGAAGCAATATCGAGGACTAGTTCCAAAGCAAATATGTTAAGCAAGTTCCGAGGATGAACATAGGCTAAAAAAATTCCCGGAATTCCTTCCTGGATTTCCCGGAAAAGCAAAAAAACCTCGAAAAAAATGCAGTTTTTGGCCCATATCTCGGCAACCAGACCACTTAGCGACTTGAAACATTTACCAATCGATTCCTGCCATAATTTAGAACAATATTGCCGAAGAAAGTTTTCAGCATATCCTTTCGTTTGGCCACAAAAAATTAATTAAGAATTTTTAAACTGAGCATCGTGTAGGCCTAGGATGATTTAGCGCAAAACGCTGAGGTTCAAAAGGATTTTACCATAGCGAATGAGCGGAGGTTCGAAAGGATTTTTTCTATTTTGTTTTGAATTATTGAAACTACTTGTGTTGCATTATTTATTTGCTGAATATATGATTTATCTCGATTTAAAATTGTTATGGATAACATAAGGAAATTGCGCTTAAATTGTCACTAGACTTTTTATTAACTTGTTTTAAAGATTGGGGGGGGGGGCGGACACTGTTAAAAGTATATATTTTCTATATGAATTTCATTTCGTTCGGGGCGCGGTAGACTTTCTTCGGGGGGGGGGGGGGGCGGACACTGTTACAAGTATATATTCATTTCGTTCGGGGGGGGGGGTAGAGTTTCAACCCCCCCCCCCCCCCCCCCCCCCCGTAAAGATGCCTGGTAGAAACTCTGATTACGTGTCAACTTGTAATGCGCTATGTAGGCTGTTGACTCCGATTTGAGCCTGCTTTTCTTTCTGGGTTTGCAACCATAGTCTTTAAAGTAAGGTTTTCTTTTCGAACCTGATTGTCTATGTGACATGGGAAATATAGTTCACCTGTTTCTGTGACCTCGGCATATGAAGGGATATCGTGTTCAGAATCTTGCTCAGTCACCTTTACTTTCCCAACGTGTGTTAGGTACCCTAAAGAGCTAGGTGGACTCAGGGACGTTGTGCTGATTTTGAACCCAGTTTCTAATTCGAGACTTTCGGGTTAGCTGTCTAGCGTTCTATTGCTAGGTCAAGCCATCCCATGTCCAAACAAAAACAAACTTGTATGATTTTAGAGTTTTCTCCCATCGATGGATTGTTGTCGGTCTCATTATCATTTTAAGACTTTTTGTAAAATGTAGCAAAGATGGCCTTTTGAAGAACTAGCCTAATCTTCCCGAGGGTTCGAACTCGGGGCTTTTCGGTTTAACAATCATGAGCTTTACCTACCCGACCACCGATCATACAATATTTTGAAATGTGATGAAGATTTTAGTTTAAACCTGATTGCGGGACATCTTCCTTTAACGTATTACTAACGACATTTAATTGTTTTTTTTAAAGAGCAATACTAACAATGTAAACTTTCTATTTCCAGCTCTTCAGAAAGCTCTGGGTCATTTATTCACTCCTTGTATCTACAGTGCTGTGTATATACATTGTCTATATGGACTACGTCGGCAGCCGTCAGTTCCTCAGCAACTATTTGGTGCGCAGGAATCGCAATCAATCGAAAAGCACCGTAGATGAACGTTACAGTTTCTTTAAAAATAGTTCAACCACCGCTACTGAAACGGGAACAGTTAATCTAAATGACACGACAGTATTTCATTGTATAAAAAAATCAACTGGGTATATTTTTAAGCCTATTCCGACAATCGGTTATAATTTCACGATTAAAATTTCAAAAAAAGACAGAACGCCAGCAATCGTAAAAAAAAGAGTTCGTAAAATTTTGAAATCCCCCGTCACTCCATCACTAGAAAAGTGTGAGGGGAATACGACTGTAAAATATCTTGTGTTTCTATGTAAAGGTCTCTGCGGGGGCTGGGGTGACAGACAAAAAGGCTTGGTCTTTGCTTATGTACTCTCTCGTCTGCTACACCGCTGTTTTAAAATTGTCATGCCCCAACCGTGCAGTCTGTCAAAGTTTTACCAGCCAAACAAAGTTCAGTGGGAGCCGGACAATGAAACTTTAGACCCGCCCACAAAAAACAACACGATGAATGCATTCAGCCACCGATTCCAGGACCGAATGGCGGTCTTAGACCTAAGTGCTCTGTACAATCAAACTGTTGTATATTTTAGGGCATACAAAGACCTGTACGAACGTCTGGTTGAAAATCCACATTTCGCCGAGCAGATCGGAAAATGGACCGGAATTCGCGACATTCAGGATCGATTCTTTTGGAGCTGGAATCAGTTAATGAAACCGTCTGCATCGTTTCTGTCTAAAGTTGAAAATGTCATTGGTAGGGACTTTTTAATACGAAAAGGTGTGGACGTTGATGTTTTAAAACATGAGAGGCTCAAACCGCCGTTGTGCGATGTTGGTAAGTCACCTTTGATCTGTGCGCATGTCAGAATCGGGAAAAACCCAAGCGTTCCTAAAGACGATGTGTTCACAACAATAAAATTAGCGGATATTCCCGTTTTATTTGAATTTATGTCATTTAAAGACACTTCCGGAGACGCCTTATTTTTCGTAGCAACGGATTACATCAATGTACGAATACAGGCGTACAACTATTTCAAGGGAAGGGTGATCGATTTTGGCGCGAAAATCGTCCATATTGACAGGCTAACACGTGACAATGATCGTTGCGGAGGTTTTGAGGACGCTTTAGTAGATCAGTTTCTGCTGAGTGTATGTGACGTCTTGGTTCTCTGCAGAAGTGGCTTCAGTCAGATGGCGTTTTACATGAGAAACAGCACAGATCCTGTGTACATTTTCGAACACGGAGCGGTCAGTCTTTATGAAGAGTAGAGGAAAGGTGGTTAATTCGTATCCACTGAGAAACAATAAATTAACTTATATTTACCCACATGCAGAGGCGTAGCAACCTATTCCGGCGCCCGGGGCGGACTATCCCATTTATATATATATATATATATATATATATATATATATATATATATATATATATATATATATATATATATATATATATATATTCCTGCCTCTGTAAAAGCGACCCCCCCCCTAGTTGGAAAGGTTTGTGGCGCTTCTTACCAGTTACTATATTACTATCCCTTAACATTTTCGGTGCCTCGAAATTGATATAGAAAAAAATGTTAAATCAGTGTGTAAAACCTTGTAGTCGTTTATTTCATTACTTTGACTGCACATTTCGATACTTCAGCTTAAAATGAGCTTTTAAATTAATTTTGTTTCTGCCCCTTTTGGCGCCTTCTATGGGTCATCGCCAAGAGCGGCCGCCCCACCCGCCCTCCCCTAGCTACGCCACTGCCCAGATGTCCAAATAGTACTAATCAGTGTTTCTTCCAAACTTTTTTCTCCGGGGGGGGGGGTGCACTTGAAATTTTCGGGGGGGGGGGGGGGGCGGTAAACTTTCTTCGGGGGGGGGGGGGGGGCGAACACTGTTAAAAGTATATATTTTCTGTATAAATTATATAAATTTCATTTCGTTCGGGGGGGGGGGGGGGGGGGGTAAAAAATGCCTGGAAGAAACTCTGGGGCGGAGCCCCCCCCCCCCCTCCGAAGAGATTCCTGGAAGAAACCCTGGCACTAATGTGTTAATTTGAATAGTTATTGGTCATACATAACCTTGTTGTTTATAATAATGTTTAGCTCTCGAGGTTTAATTGTTGAGTTGAATATACCCACTACTTGTTCACATTAGTATCACACATTTTACATATACTGGGTATCAAGTGAATCTTTTTCCAGAATATTTGGTTGCTTATCATAAAAGCCACTAAGTTTCTAGCTTGAAGCCCTACTAGTTCGACCTGTCGTGAACATATTGCAGTAAATGTACATTGCATTGGAGTAATACTAATTTACTTTATTACTAAAAGCTTACACCTATCTTTGCTAGTACTTATTTTATTTAAATGTAGCAAATTCTAGATTCCGAAAACTGAGCTCTTAGTGCATCAGATCATTTCTTGGTAAAAAAAACAATAAACACATCATTTAAGCGAAAGAATGTTCTTGACTGGATCTTATTAAACATCTTCTCAAGGATTTCTTGACATGGCTTTCACTTTTGTTTACTGTAATGCAATATTTTAACTTGCTGCAACTTAAAGAAAATATAATGCACTGCATAATCAGACATTGACAATAAGCAGGATAAAGGGAAAAAATCGGGCAAAGGGAAAGAATCGTAAAAATAATTTCCCGAAATTGATGCAGTTTTAAGACTAGGGAGCCTCTACAAAAACTGGTATATTTTTTATTATATTTCAAGGAATTGTCTAATACACATAGGCAGTGTTATTAAACCTAAATATTTTCTAAAATTTAGCTTCTGTATGAAGATAAACAGTGAATGAACAGTTACAAAATCATGATTTAAAGAAGACACAACAAAAGTTGGAAGAAACAACCATCAAATGGCAGTTTATTAAAACAACTAATGTGACCAATACATAATGTACTAATATAGTACATACACAGACAAAAAATGACAATTACAAGTCTAGACCAAACAACATACAAGAGTGATCAGAGCTACAGTACAGCCCAAAGTGATTGGGATGACTGCATTTGCTTCTCTTTAAAAACTGTGTCATTTGTGGAATGCATAGCATAACTTCAATCTATTTATGAATTAAATGTACATCAAAATTTCAATTAGTTGAGCAAAAAAATACATTTCAAAAAATAGTTTTTGTAGAGTATTTGTCTGCGTATTGCTTGTCTGGCTAAATTTACATTCAAGGCATTAGGATCTATACATAATCAAGCTTAGTCCAGTTAGGAATATTTTTGTTGTCTCATATGTTACTATCTTCATGACATAGTTCTAACATGGTTTCTCATTACAATTACCAGTACCAAAAAAAAAACATGGGTATTGGCAGTATCATTCAGTATAGACAAGTGCCAAAATGAATTGCATGAAGTATCAATATAGTTTAATGATAATAGTCTATCGGGATGCATAGGGTTAATTTTGTTAGATAGACTTGAGGGTAAAAAATAATTGTATACAGCACCCTGTATCAAACAGGACCAAGGTCAAGGTAATTCTAACAACCTTGAAAATATCACATTTTGTGTGTAGTCTTTGTTTAGAATACAATAACAGCTAAACGTTTATCAAAACATTTATAAAAAAATAGAGTTCCTTTAACTTATTGTGAAAAAAGTCTATGCCTAAATATTGTTAAACCTTTTTGAAAAAAAAAAGAGGATTTCATGTTTTCTTAAAATGACCATAAAAAAAATATCATATCACATTTCACTCAGAAAACATCTCATCCTATATACATCTGGAGGAATTATTTCTTGCATAGTTAAACAGTAGATCCTCAATATGTTAAAAAAGTACACCAGAAAACCCTTGAGAATTTGTACATCAAAATTGTTCTTTTCAACATGCGCCGCCATTTGTTGTAGATGTCGGATCCTGCAGTTGATCAATTAGTTCCTGGAAGTCTGTGATGAACCATGCTGAATTCTCTTTCACTTTGGCCCTCACCACATTACCTCCATACCCGATAAAACCATCCTGCAATAAAAGTAATATTTATAATTTTTATGTTTTGATATTATAATGTTTAATGTCATGTTTTCAAATATAAAGTTACAACAAATATTCTTTTTAAATTAACACTTACTAAAGTTATTTTGTAAAATCTCAATGCACTTAACTAGTTGCATATTATAAAAAGAATTATTCAGTTTGACATATAAAACTTGTCAGTGGTATTAGCACCTTGCTCTTACTTTAATTTTTATGAAACTGTTTAACCAACAAGGACATGACTGCCTGTACCAACACATGAGCAACTTACGGCTGGGGGTGCAGCTTCCATGTCAGTTGCTCCATCCCCAATGAAGAGCACAGTCTTAAATTTGTACTGGTCTCTGATAAGCTGAACCACCCGAGCCTTACCACCAGACTCAGATGTCAGTTGTGTTGTGTCAAAACCTGCGTAGCTGCCGTCTGCAACAATTACATGAAAACAACAAAATATAAATGAATCTCTAAACCCTGCTAGCTGCCGTCTGCAAGAATTACATGAAAATAACTTAATATAAATGAATCTCTAAGCCTTGGTCTAGGCAACATAATCAGATTTAAAAGTCACGAAAACAGATTGAGAAATCTTTTATTGAACTGCTTCAACTTATCAGTATAAACAATTAGAGAAAAATGATATTTTTAAAAACATTTAAAAAACTTCAGTATGGTCAAGATTTATTTTGCATTGTGTATTTCTTGTTGTAAAGTTGCTCAGAAAACTAAACTTTGCCCATAGTTTTTGATAAAAAATAAAACGGTTCTAGTAAGTGTACTTTAATGAAATAGGAACTAAAATATTGAATGTTACAAAAATCTCAAAAACCTGCCTACATCAACAAAATATAGAGCAATAATATTTTTTTAAGGGCATACCCACCTTCATTAAACAGAAGTGTGTTAGCAAAGAGGTGATCCTGGGGGATACCAAGTGCATTGGCTACTGGTGTGATGATGCTTCGAAAGCCTCCAGTGACTAAAAATACTTCAGTGTTCCTTGACTTTAGTAGTGCTACTAACTCTCTATAAGACGAATGTGATAAAACTCTAAGTACTTATTCCTTATTTAAAAACAATCAAATGACATTCATAGACTAATCAGATTAAATTTTACCCAGTGTTCTTTGACCTTTCATTCTATTTTTAAATTAACACTTTTAGCCTACTTATCTAATGATAAGGCTTAAGTATAGTTGTGAAAACTATTTTTAGTTAACTTTTAAAAAAGTAACCAATTTTTCAGTTATTTTTAGATTAAAAAAAATTTTTTTTTTAAATAAACTAGGGCATTTTAATATCACATGTTTAGATAGTAGGCATATTAACAGACAGGGATGTAAACAATGTAACAACATGAGAGGGTTAGTAAAAGAGATAGCATTCTCTACAAAAGGAGTCAAATCAGCATATTGTAATCAAATCACTTAATACTTCAACCTATAAAAAATAAGTAGCTATAAACTTATGTTGTTTAGATTGAATGGCTTACAGTATTCTTGGACTGAATGTAGATGGGTGGGTCACAATGAATTCCTCCACTTTCTCCCGGCTAGGCTGAACTATATTGAGGCGGAGTGTGAGGGCCTCTCTGAAAGTCATGCCACCACCCATAGCCTTTAACGTCCTGAAAAATTTGATTGGATTTCCATGAATTAAACAGTTGAGTAAAATCTATTTCCACAATTTTATGGGTAAATTTAGCTTTCTTCACTTTGTCTCTTTAAAAACTGTGTCATATGTGGAATGCATAGTATAACTTCAATCTATGAATAAAATGTAAGCTACAGCAAATTTTCAATTAGTTAAGCAATAAAATAATGGTGTTGGATTTGAAGATATCCTGTTTTTCTATTTTCTACAAATTTAGCAAACATGCTGAACTAATGACTAAAATAATTCAGTGTATTTTATATACAACATTATTGTTGTTTATTGGCAGATGTTTAATTAATGTCTGCCGCGAAAGACATGAGGTTTAACCAGATGTATGCAGTAAAAGACACTGCTGATGTCTCAGAAATCCTGCACCACGGAAGGGTTAATGCAAGTAACTTACATGAACATTATTCGCACAAGTGTTATGGTTTCTTAAAATCATTTGTAATTTTAATGAAATAAAAGTTAAGGAGAAAATGATTACATTGCTTCAACTTGTGGACCAACCCCACAAAAGTTGGCAAGATCATCAAGCCCCTCATCCTTGATGACAGTTGAATCTACGTCAAAACACACAGCATCAGCCTCTCTCCATAGACGCTGTAGCTGATCCTTTGTAGGAGGCATGGTTGACAATCTGGGAAAAATCAACAGTGAAAAGAATATTATGTTGTCAAATATTTATTAAAATAAAATAGTTTCTGTTATCTAACAGCCGTGGAGTTCTGACAGTATAAATTAACTATTTTGTTAGGGTCAGGTTCACATCTAGGGGTCAAAATTATGGTTAAAGCAGCACAGCTAAAAAATAATTTTCTTTTACCAAGAATGGGCATACTTAACAAAATAAGTGTGGCATAACTGCTACAGAGAAATATTGTGCAATAATAGTTTATAAATTGTAAATAATAATGAACATAATTTACCTGGTGAAATGACACTGGCCAAAAGATATGTAAGCCATCTGTCTACTAAGTTTCGTTAAATTTTTTAGCATTCTTAATCCTTACAGTACAGGATAATATAATGTATCTTAAAATATCAATACTATGTAAAAAAAACAATATAGCGCAATGCAATTGAAATGTTAGAATTGTTGGATGTTATTACCTGTTAAATAAAAATAATTCACTTGATTAGAAAAAACTAACTATAGGAGTCAATCTACCATTCACACACCTAACTAAAAGCATCAAGCTGACAAAAAGTAACTAGAAGAAGATAACTCCAAAAAACAGCAATTTAAGCTAAATACATGTAGAATAAGGTAAAGAGAACTATAGTAAACCAAGCTACTTATCACAAAGAAATTACAACTGGGGCTAGGGAGGGGGGAACGACTCCCTTTTACCTTGAATTATTTTAAAATCATATTTAAAAGAATTATAATGTAAATTGTGCACAAAACTATTTAAGATTCTATTAGCTGCAAGTTCATATTAGAATAACTTGTGTCATTCAAAATGATCATAAACCACATAAGTAATTCCAATATTATGAATATTGCTACTAAGTACTTAATTATTTTGATGATAGTTAAGCTCAAGGAGAATTAAAAGTAAAAGCCTTAATTAGTAATGCTTAAAACACCACCATAATAATTTGAAAAAAAAAAAAAAAGACCTCTTTAGTATTATTTATCTCAGTCATTAAAATTGTTATGCAACGAACTAGTTATTAGATGTTAACAGTTTACATTTATATGGCAAAGCAATAATATAAAGGGTTAAAAAAGGTTATTTTAGTAGCTCACTTCACTATCATTACCAGGGCATTATTTCATGTCAAATAATTTTTAATAGGCTTGTCTTCTACTTCTATGCAGTGCTATTTTAGTCAAAAACTGATCTTTATGGACTTACCTCAATATAATGTGAAAAGTTTTAAAAGTAGAAGTAGGCCTATCTTTTGTAAAATAAATTCTGTTTTGTCTACTGGGCAATTAGAAACTTTATAAAAGAAAGAAATATACTGATGACTGTAAAACAGCTTTAAAAAGTAACATTACAACTTACATGTTTGTTTATTTACCTCTTTAGGTAAGTAAACATACAACAAAGATATGACAACCACAACTTCATTTAAGACATCACATTATTAGTATTAGTACTAATTAATTACATTGAAACACTGACTCAATTATGATATTTATAGTAGATCTAGTATCATGAAATGAAATGATCAACAATCAAACGGTTTTTAGTCTGATTCCAAAATTATATAGATCTATTTAGTACAGAGTACATTTAAAGTTCTTCAGGAAAAAAAAAATAATTTCAGAAGGCTTAAACATCTAAATACTTTTAATAGTGGAGTATCTTGTTTCAGTCACCAACATACAAAGATCAATAACATTCAGCTAGGAAGTTAAAAAAAAAAAACAAGTTCACTAAGAGTAAACTGTTAGGCCTGTAAACTTGACATACATGAATGATGCAACACACAAGAAATTGATAAAAATAAGCCACCGGTTATTCCTACAGGTAACAGCTGAATGGAAGGGGGGGGGGGGGATTTATTATATATTAGAAACCTTGCTGTATACCTGAATTTACTACTTTGATGACTAACTGCTGGAGACAAGACTAAGGAAGAAATTTTAAGAATTTATTTTCTCATAAACAGGCATATGTCTAGACTAGATCTAATCATATATAATATAAAATGTAAACTATTAGCCCATTCATTAGGCTTATAAAGTCATTTATTTTGGCCTAGGATAAGAGCTATGAGTTAGGCTAATATAATAATTTTGTCATGCCTTACTAGATCTAGATAGTAGATAGAATGGTAAACTTATTGATTCTAGATCTAAATTAGGCCTTCATAAAAAAGTAAATAATTTATGGGTAAAAAAGTAAAGTTCCCTTTCAAACCTGATGGTCTATGGGGCAAGTGGAGTTCACTTGTTTCGGTGACCTCGGCACTATGCCCACTTTATGCGTAAATTAGATAAAAACCCTGATAACTTCATCAGATTTCTATTATCTAAATCAATAAGTTTATAAAAGACATTTAATAAAAAAAATATCATAAGACTTCATAAGACATAGGAATTTAGTAGCCTAGTATTTACTATTTAGGCCTAGATCTATCAATAATACATTAATAATAGGCCTAATTAGTAGTTTTTCTTACTATATGTGAAATCTACTCAATTCTCAATTTAAACATGACAACTGAATAAAAAACGTCCATACTTTATCCCCTAGGCACTAATTTGGGGGTTGTAGCGAGTTTAGGCTAAATTATTGAATTTTAAAATGTTTTGTCACTCACAGCTATGATATGATGGATCATCCATGACAACCTGGTTAAAAGTTGAAAGGTTTAACTTTTTAAGTGACAGTGAAATAGATCTAATTTTTTTTCACAAGAGAGTTCCTAAAAGTAGAATTGGCCCGTCTATCGTCGGGATATATTTATAGAGGAAAAAAATTTAAGAGAATGTCATCAGAAAAGAATTTTAAAAAAGACAAGACAGAAGTGATGTTTGAATTCTTTTATTTCTTTAATTTTATAACATTTTTTATTGTACAAAAGAGCAAAATAAAAAACCATGCCAGGTAAACGTATCCATTCAAATAGCGGTCACGTGGTCAAAAAAAATAAAAAAATTAGGTTGTCATTTTATGGACACATCATATAAAAAAAAGTGTTGAAGATATTTGATTTATTTTTTCATAGAATGATAAAACTAATAATGCTTTACTTTGGAAATCAATTTTGTGAGAGGGAGATCTATATTTAAAAAGTTATATTATTTTGAATGACACCGACTTTAAATTTAGCCTACATTCCCCAAAGCAATTTCTGAAAATGCTTTTCTGGCATATTTAACCTTGCCACCTATAGCATGTTTTTATAACGTGAAAACCCGCCATTTTACTCGTGATAAACATTTTTAAAAGTAATTCTAAGAAGGTCTCTGGAACTAAGTCGAAAAACTCGCCGGAAGTCATGGTCCGATCCTTACGCCATGTTCTGGTTAGCAACCAAGGACGCTTTTAAGTTAGTGAGCCTCCCTACTAATTAGTAATTAGTTTAGGGTCTAGATTCTAGATCTATATGCAATTTTGGCAGTGGGGTCTAATAAAAATATAAAAAGCATTAGCATAGGGCTAGCCGGCTAAGCTTTTATTTATTTTAATGTTTAAGTCAGGCTTCATCATATTTCATAAGCAAGATCATCGTTAGATCAAATTTATTACTGCTGATTCCTATAGAAACTTGATTTAAATAATACTAGACTCTTAGATCTAGAATCTAGATCTAGGCTAAATATTAATAAATAATTTTATACTCACTCTAGAGGCATTGCGTACGGATTAGACTAAGATACAATAGTTTTCATAAAGAGATCTAAGACTAAGTCCGCTTACAACGAACTCTAGAAGTCGACACAACCAACTGAAGAGACCGACAAACAGTGACGTTCACCTATTTATAGGCCTGAATTACTGTAGAACATCCAATAATCCACAACAAGTCAAATAAAATCTTCCACAAATGAAAATGGTTATTTTAAAATTGTGAGTGTGAAATGGGCGAAAAGGAAATAGGGTTTCTTTTTAAAATGCAAAAACATGTTGATAATTATAATTACGATAGCTATACTGTATAAATTGAGATGTGCGTTCTATTTTATTCTCCTTTAGGCCTACAATCATACGATTAGTCAACAAGATAAAATGTAGGCTAATCGGGTCACCGTGTGATCATTGTCAAAGGCATTGACCTTGTTTCTGAGATCCACGCGCTCAACGCGTTTCGATACACTGAATCACGGATGAATGCACGCGGTGAGTGCATGGAATAAAATACATAGGATATAAATATACAAAATTAAAGGGTGCTAGGACAAGCTTAGTAGACTAGGGGGTCATCCATAAATGACGTTACACTCGTAGGGGGAGGGGGGTCCGTAATTTTGTGACGATGTGTGATGAGGGGGAGGGGGGGGGGGGGGGTTCAGATGTTGCGACGTAACATTTTTGCATTATAAAAAAGCAATGTTAGAAAACGAATTTTAGACGTTATTTCGCGTTTTAGATAACTGTTTTAATAAATTGTAATAGTTTAGACAAGATTTTAGAAAAATATCGATGTTTAAAAAAAATTCAACTGCAATTTTGAGGGGGGTTGTAGGTTGAGGTGTGACGTCATTTTAGGGGGGGGGGGTCTGGCTTTTTGTGACGACGTGTGACGGAGGGGAGGGGGGAGGTAAAAGTCGTCAAAAAAAGCGTGACGTCATTTATGGATGACCCCTAGACAGACACCTGACTCAGCCAACAAGCTGGCGCTACCATTGTAGGCTTTAGGCTTTATTTATTATCATAAAGTCCATCCAACTGATATATGATTTATTGGCGATGCAGCTCTTATCCAAAGATTTAATTAATAGGTCAACTTTGAATTCAGCTATCCACTTTTAATCTTAATGTGAAAAAAATAGCATCTAAATTTTAAAATATAAAAAAAAAAAGCCTATAACACACTTTTTGTGCTCTGGATTATCAGCATACTGTAAAATGATTAGTGATCGTTCATAAATAACACCGAGCTCGGATTGGGGGAGGGGGTGGTGAGGGAACGGATTAAGGTGACAAGCGAGGGGGATGGATAAAGTCTTTACTTTTACGTAATTCAAATAAGTGTAGATCGTGAGCCTAAATTGGTACATTAATCTAATAAGGAATCGGATTTGCAAATCATTATTGCAAAATGATTATCTGCTTTTCTGTCTAAATCAATTTAAATAAGATAAGAGTTCCTGGTCTTCTTTGTTCTTTTTAATGTTAACATAGGATAGGGGATCAGAGTTTTTTCCAACATCTCTACGGGGGGCAAGGCCCCCCCCCCCCGAAGAAAGTCTACCGCCGCCCCCCCCCCCCCCCCCCGAACGAAATGAAATTTATTTATATATACTTTTAACAGTGTCCGTCCGTCCCCCACCCGAAGAAAGTCTACCGCCCCCCCCCCCCGCAAAAAGCCAGACCCCCCCCCCCTAAAATGACGTCACACCTCAGCCTACAACCCCTCCCCTCAAAATTGCTGTTGAATTTTTCTTAAAACATCGATATTTTTCCAAAGTTTGTCAAAACTCTGTAAACAGAGTATTTTGATCAATTCCTATTACAATTTATTAAAACCGTTTTCTAAAACGCGAAATAACGGCTAAAACCAGTGTTTCCTCCAGACTTTTTTCTCCAGGGGGGGGGGGGGGGCACTTGAAATTTCCGGGGGGGGGGGGGGGGGTGGGCGGTAGACTTTCGGCGCCAAAATGGGTTGGAGAAATGGAGAAACTAATCGAAAATTCAAAGGGGGGGGTGCAAATCGAAAGTTCGAAGGGGGTGCAAATCGAAAGTTTGAGGGGGTGCAAATCGAAAATTCGAGGGAGGGGGGCTTGCAAATCAAAAGTTTGTCCCCGGGCGCCGGGAAGGGTCGCTACGCTTCTGGGGGGGGGGGGACACTGTTAAATGTATATATCTGGCTAAAACTCGTTTTCTAACCATGCTTTTTTATAATGCAAAAGAGTGACGTCCCACCATCTGAACCCCCCTATCCATCATCACACATCGTCACAAAATTACGGACCCCCCTCCCCCCTACGAGCGTCACGTCATTTATGGACGCCCCCGTAGGTGATCAGCAGGCCAAAGCCACCATTAACAACTATATTTTGTTAAAAATCAATGTTTAAGGGAAGGAATTCGATAAAATTTTTGACAAAGTCAGCCTAGCTGGGCTATATCCCCTTAGAGAAGTAAAAGTAAAACCAACAAATTACCTATAAATAATTATAGATAAATATTTGAAGGGGGGGGGGGTGTAAAAAGAAGTAGTGAGGTCATTGAGCGGGGTCTGAATTTTCTGTTTCCAATGGAATGATCGATGGGTAAAATAACGTCGGCAAAAGTTGATGGATGAACTTAACCCATATTAAAATATTGAATTTTTAGCATTAGTCAATCCACAACAATTTTTGTATTTGTGTGTGCTGCGACCCCCCCCCCCCCCCCCCCCCCTCCCGTCATGGACGAACTATGCATATACCATGTACGATTTAATTGACCCAAACAAATAATTTATGATATAATAAACATGACCTACTTTTAAAATAATTCTGCAGCATAACACATGGATCTTCTAAAATTTTAATGTTTTTCGACTGCAAGCATACTTTCAAGGTAACTAACCGTGGTTATTTTTATAACTTTTTGCTAGCTGTAGTCGCCTACCTTGGTAATGGTAAAATTCGTTTTGAAGGCAGATTGTAAAGCAGATTATCGATTTTTCTGTTGAAACACGACTTAAAACCCAATGCTCAAATAATATTTTACGACCGATTTGAGAAATAAGTATGTACACTAGTACATCTTCTTAAAACCAATTTTCGTCAACACTTATTGTACAATATTTCTATAATAATTAATAATCTTGTGTAAGAGAAAGAAATGCAAACCCAATTTAGTTTCTTAAGAAACTTGAAATGTAATAATTATATTATTTCAGAATTAAGATTATGTTTTTTTTCAATGCTGATGTGGCTTTTTATTGTGTCCCCTCAATATTTAATTGCAGCCATTAACTATGTACATGATAAATTCGTTCTGGTTTTTTAATACAATGTGAAGTGGAAAAATTAATTATTTTCTTTTAAGAAGAGCATGGCAAGCACTTCAAGCAGTAGTTAGTGTATATATATATATATATATAAATATATATATATATATATATATATATATATATATATATATATATATATATATGGATTTAATCATTTGCTCCTGGCCAGCTATGCACCAATTAAAGCCCATCTTAAGTGGCTTTTTCAGTCTTGTATATTTAAAATTAATAGATCAAATGTAATGAACCTAATAAAAAAAAGATGAAGATGTTAATCACTCTATTACTAAACAGAAAGTAATAAAATTGCTGTGCTTTTATCTGTAGGAATCTTCTGTGTCCACCCAGCTCTAGGTACCATACATGAAACAGGGAAAAGGCTGTTTGTCATAGTGCTGACCATATAATTCATTCAGATGCTGAAGTCAAAGAGACATGAACTCCCAAAAGCTCAAAGACCATCATGTCTAAAATTTGAAACAACTGTGACACATCATTCCTCTTCCCACTCAGCTTTCAAGGAATATATCTCTCTCTTATTATCAGGCAAACATGAGATAGAATGCTATCAGTAACAGAGACACAATTTATGTTCAATGTTTACATCTAAACCTTTGTTTGCCGTTTTAGGATTGTGCTCAGAAACATTTCAGCACACAACAATGCTCTTCTTTTAAATTATCTACACTGTAACCATGTTATACAGTTCTTCACTAGGTATAAGTATAACATCAAATTAATTCCAACAAAACACTTAGTGATGCAATTATTTTACTCGTCAAATGAAATAATTTTCAGTAATTTCTGACAACTTAAAGGTGTGGCAAAAGCTAAGTGTGCACAAAATGAGTTTTGCCCTATGTTAAAATTAACAGCCAGCCTGAGTAGTTATGGAGAGTCACCAGCTAATTTACATAGCATGTGGTCCACGAAGACTAAATGTATAAAACTGTAAAATATATTAGGCATTATTCTTTTCGAATAAATTTATTTTCAATCATATACTCTGCTATTGTGTGTAAAACAATGCAGTCCACGAAGACTAAATGTATAAAACTGTAAAATATATTAGGCATTATTATTTTAGAATATATTTATTTATAATCACATACTCTGCTATTGTGTGTAAAACAACTTCTACTCACAACAAATGTGGTGTAAAAACTTGTGTATCCAAGGTAGACAACTGATACAAAAACTTGTAAATGGTCTAACAATTGCTTGGGTATAATAAGCAAAGGTAGTGGAATGTACAATAGTTCACAAAGTCAAAAATGTCTACAAAAAGAAAAATAGAAAATGAGTGATTTGCTACAAGGCTGTAGAAAGATTGTAATTGTAGCAGAAAAGTGATTGGAGTAATAGAAAAGACGGAATGATAAAAGTATAAAAAGATCACATTTAACAATAACAATCAATTATTATGCTAGTTCTTGTTCACTTATCTTTAAAGAAAAACATTTACAATACTGGAGTTATAGCCTCTATATCACAACTTTCTAAGTTTTACAACAATTTCAAAATCACTTTAAAAAGTTATCACCAGGTAAATATTATAAAATATTCAATATTCAAAAGACTGCAGACATTCCAAATCTCATTAGGCAAAGTACACTAAAGTAAAATTAACATTTAATATGCAACATCATTATCTTTTCATGTTTGCGCCCAAGACACATGGAGCAGATAAGGTAGAGTTTTCAATCTGTTTCAACGACCTCTGCATAGGCTACAGGCGGATAGTATGGCTGCCACAATGCCCGCCGTCTTTGTCTCCTGATATAGGTCAGGCACTCAGCAGAGCTTAATGGACTCAAGTACATCTTATAGACTTGAGCCGGGGATCTGAACTCAAGACCTTTGTGATAGCAATCGTGTGATCTACCACCTAACCACACCGATTCCCCCTAATTTGCTATACATTTTGAGAGCTAATTGTAAATTTAAAAAGGATGTTTAAGACCAGATATCACCTAGAGAAGCTGGAAATGAGGTCACTTCTGATTGGCAGGATTTTTTATGCCTGCTTAAGGACTGTCTATACTGGAAGCTCTTTCCACATTTACAAAAGTAGATTTTGTCTGAAAGCGCAGGAGGCTTCTTCCTTTCACTGTCTGTTTTATCCTTACATTTCTTCACATGCCTGTTGTAGGACGGGCGCCAGTGAAAAGCCTGACCACAGTGTATGCACTTCTGAATTTTGTTGCTATGTTTGGCACTGAAATGGTCTTTGAGGCCGCTGGTGCCTTCAAAAGTGAGACCACAAATCTCGCAGATAAAAGATGTGTCTTTGGCATCCAGGCTGTGAGCGTGAACAAGATGGGGCGGAACAGCTGATTTAGAGCAAATTTTTTTGTGAGCGGACAAGCTGGTGGAGTAGGCATATTTCCGTCCACAGTGTTGACAGATATAAGGCTTGGTCTTGCTATGTTTGTTCATATGTCCTTCTAGGCATTCCCTTTTCAAGAAACCTCGCTGGCAAATGTGACATGTGTATGAAGGCTTCTCGTGAACTTTATCCAAGTGTGCTTTCACTCTGGACGAGAGTAACAGTTTTCCGCAATACGAACACAAAACTCGCATTTTATCATGAATCTTCTTTATGTGAGTTTTTAAGGTGTGTTGATTAAGAAATCCAAGTCCACAAATGAGGCAAGTCAATGTTTTAGGCTGGAGGTTAAGACATGTCTCTTCTTCCTTTATTGATAAAACATTGTTATTTAGTTGTTGGTTATTATGGTGGTTTAATTTTGAAATTTTTGCTGGCTGACTTGGGCTAACTTTATTACATAACTTTTCACAGTGAAGAAATCTAGAACTGTCTTTAACACCAGAGCTTGCTTCTTTTACTTGTAGTTTTTTTCTCAACCTAATCATTCTCTCTGAACATTTCTGAACCTAGAAATAAAGGTTACATTACATTTTTTTTAAATCTTCACAAAAAAACTTATAATTAAGCATGCTAAAGTAAAAAATAATAATTTCAAAATGCCTTACTTCGTTATTACATGCATTTATATTATTATGCTTTTCTAAGCCGAAATTTAAATCAGCTATGTTCTGTGCAACTTCTGAGGGGATATTTTCCTCACAAGAGTTTCTGTGTGAAGTGAGTTGATCAGCAGAAGCATCACACCTTTCTAACCTAGCATGAGAACCACTGACATCCAAACACTGCATTCCATGACAATCTTTATGATCATGTTCCTGGGTTTAGAGAGAAAAAAAAAAATACCCTTATAAAAAAGACTAATAGGCACAAGTTTGAACAACTAAAAAATTATTTAATGGAATTTACTAGTATAATTACTGAAGTAAAAGAAATTATAATAGCTATAAAAAACATCTGTGCCAAATAAAACAAAACAGTTACAACTTTGAGTTGTTTCTACCTTCATAATAATTTCATTCTTTTTTAAACTTGCAATGCTTAGTCGTCTTGCACTTTTAAGACTAGCAGCCATATTCTCACTATTTTGAACTGTATCAACAGTTTGTTGATTCTTAACTTGCGCTTGTATTCTGCTTCTTTGCAATATGTTCAGCTCTGTAATCTGCTGACATTTATTTTTGCCAACCATACCCCTTGAATGACCCTTCTTACTTTGATGCTCACCCAAATATTCCGAGTCTGAATGCCACAGTTTAAAGAGTTGAAACATTTTTAATAACGAGAAGTGAGGCTCAAATTTTAAAATTTTGCTCCTTAAAACACAAAGCAAAAATTCCAACTGACTGCGTGTCAGTTTTTTAAGCTTGGCCCTCATCTGTAAATTAAAAAAAATAAAAGGAAATTTAACCACGAAGTCAATAATTATGGCATATAGGCCTATTCATTGAAAACTTTGTAGTAATATGTTTAAAAAATTTTAAAATGTAAAACAAGCTATTTAAATCTTGTTTAATTGAACTTCCTATGTTTAATTTTTCCTGTTTTAGGAAAGCAAGTTTAAAAGCTTATCACAGTGATTTCAAAAACTCATGCTTGTTTTCAAAGTTAAAATATCTTTCAAAAGATTGTCATAAACTAGTAGCTATAAGCTCATTGTACTTGATGATTTAGGGATAAGCTGAATATTCTTTCACCTTTATTTACTAGCAGAGTTGGCTGTTCATGCACTTTTAGGCCGACTAGGTTTGCGCATCAGTTTTTAAGTTGTTACTATATACCCTATACAATAGAGAAGACACAACGAAAAAATATTTTATTAACAATGTTGTTAAATCATAAAAGCAAAATATTTTGTTAAGTTAATATTTTGTAAATATTTAAAAAATTATTAAAAAAATAAAACATTTTAGTTTGAATATTCGCCATCATGGTTTGAGATTTTTTACCTATATTTTACTAAAGTTAGGCACAGCTAGACTATATCTTAAGGAAACTCTTTTCTAAATAGTAAATTTTATATCTCTATTTCCATATCATTAGATTCATGTGCCTTATGTAGGGTGTTACTTGACCTACTATTAAATCGTTACCTTGGTAATGATTTCCACCAAAAAAATACCAAGTCTCATTTTTGTTTTAGACAAAATTAAGTGGTCATTAAAAAATAGGATTACTTTAAGTAGTTTTATTTTGTCAAATTTGCATCAATACTAAGAAACACTGGTTTTATTATAGGCCTAAATATAAATAATAGCTAGATCTAGGCCTAAATAGATTTAAATACTGTATGCCTACTAACTAAATAATACCAACTGCCTAACAGTTTCTTTCAGTTATATCTTGGGGGAGGCATAGAGCAGTTCCTCCCCCCCCCCCCATCAGGACAAAGTGGAGAATAGGCCTATAGTATAATACAACTATACAGTACTATATAGTAGTATATAGGGCCTACTAAAATAAGTCTAATATATAGGACTTAGGCCTATATAGAAAAAAATTCTTTACGCTTATTTAATCAGTGCCCCCCCCCCCCCCCACACCTCCAAGTCCAGTAAGTCTGTAGATCTAGATCTAGATGGCAAAATAAATAGTAGGGCCTAAATAGTAAATATAAATACAAATAGCCTACTAAAATTACTAAC